CCCCCCCCCCCGCCGCGTACGCCTATGCGTATTTGAATAAAACCTAAAATACCAAACACTTTTTTTGAACCCCACCTCTATATAGGTCTAGTGTAGGCGTTCCCATGACTATATTAATCATTGGCCGTTGCCAAGTTTAAGTAATTTATTTAATGTTTGGTTGTTTCTTATTGCACCCTAAATCTAAGTTTAGGTATGTCTGTCTGGAAACACAGATTAAAAATAACTGTCTGCAAAATGGTTACAACAAAATGCTGTTGGAGAAGTACAGTGACGCACTCCCTCCAATGTCTAAAGTTTTTTAAATTTTCAAGCAAGAGCATTTTACTGATAGTGGTATCATCACTGAAAAGTGATTAGGTACTCGGGATAACATTGCCAGTCGTAAAACACGACAAAGATTCGCGGGTTAGGATTCTGATCCACCACGCTATCAAAGATGTCTGTGGGATCGCTGGGGTTCTTTGCAGGAGGCGTAAGAAGGCCCTGTCTTCCAACTGTGTACTCACCAGCCAGGACTCTAGTGAAGTACATATATCGCCATCCGTTAGCATCTGGCGGTGAGTACGTGGACCTGGCAGAGTAGGAGGCATCCAATGCAAAGTAAACTCCATTTCCATACATGGTCGCTAAAAGAAACAAACTAACGGTCAGTGGAATACTTAGAGTCGATCCCAATCTCGTCACAGTTGTGGCAAAGGTAGTTTGCTTACAAAACTTAATCGCAGGTCTGCAAGACTGCTGAGACCATCGCGATACAGGAGGAATGAGGGAAGCAAACTGGTTAAAGCCTGAACAACACTCAACCCAAACAAAAGATCATTGCTTAAGATTGCATCCAGTCAGTAACTGGACCGTACAACACATATTGCTTTCGACCTCAACACACACGGTCTTCACGTGCTTAGGACTTCTCTGTGATTAAATTTGATTAAAATCTACGCCGCTGTATGAATATCAATACAGTAAACAACGTTTTTTTCCATATAACGCGAACTCCAAATAACTCGATTTTTTTTTTAATTTCCCATGTCATTAGCTATAAGTTAATTGGCTAGTCATCTCTTACCGTTTTTTCCATGAAAGCTTCTGTTGAAACCTGTATGATTTATAAGTTGACAGTTACTGCCTGGAGTTCCGTGAAAAAGCCATTGCTCATTGCTGCCTTTTCCCTCGTCCATTTTCTGCTTTCGAATTGCATACGTTCTATACAGAACTGGATTTTGCACTCGCTCAATCTTTACAATTTGGTTACTGCACGTATTCTGGAATCTAGCCTGGACGTTTTGGTATTCTTGCACATCTCTTGAAGGATCCAGTTGACAAAGATGTACGGTCGTTTCATTACCTTGTGGATCCTTTGGTTGAGGAGTCCAGTGATCTGGTACTTGAACACCTGGAAAAGAATGAACAAAAAGGTTGTTTTTTCAGCTTTGGTTTTACGCCAAAAACAAAGTGTTTAGCTCAACACTTAAAAAAAGGATGCCTTGTTGCAAGAGCCCAAAACCAGGGCAAAGGGAGGCTGGGTTTCCTAAAAGGATCGTATTCCTTACCAATGTATTTAAGTGTAGTCTTAACAAAACTTAACATGATTGCTCAAAAATCTAAGAGGTTTTAAATGCTTGGAAGAGACAAGATCGCTAGAATATGATGTTGATAGTTGTCTTAGTTACAAAAATAAACCAGGGAAGTCTTACACAAGGCTTAGCAGAAAGCAATGAGGTTCAAAAACAAGGTCAACTTTAATCTGACCGGGGTAAGTTATAAACAGTCTGTGAAAGACACGCACTCCATCTGTAAGAGCAGCTAGGAAAGAGGCACTACAAGCTACAAAAACAGGAGTTAAGGTTCTTATTTATTTCATTAATTATCTTACTTTTTCGATCAACTCTTTTAACTTCGGTGATGATGGTGCCATATGGGTCTTTCACCCGCATTGTGGTTAAGTCAACTATGTAATCGTCTCCCTCCTCTGAAGTAAGTATCACTGTGTTTTTCTTATCGTGATGGGCCAGCTCAATCTTGGCGTTTACGTGGCTTTCGTAACGAACGAAGTTAGTGCCATCATGATACATCCACTGGATATCTTTCGAAAGCGCCTCTGCTCGCTTACGTTCGTGCTCTTCTTCTCGTATTTGATGCAACATTTCGTGGATCTCTCCCACGACGTTAAGGATATCGTCACTTTGTCCTTGCACTACAATGCGTTCCACCATTTTCTCCACCGATACTGAAACATCGTATCGTTGTTCAAGTGTGTTTATTTTTCGAAAATGTCCTTTCGAAAATAATTTGATTGCTTCGTTTTCAATAACCCGCTTTGTTGACTTCTCTTTCATAACTTCATTGATTTCGTTCATCGCTCCTTGTAGGTCTCCTCTACTACCAGCAAAGATCACAAGGTCAAGATCTTTGTTGTAACCATTTACGGGGATTTTTCCAGTTGAGGCATCTTTATCTGAATCTCCTAAACCAAGAAAACCTCCAAACGTTGAAAAAACTCGGCGGAAGATTCCACGTTTCTCAGTGGTCGTTTCCCCAGACGCTTCTTTTATTGCCAAACGGACTTCTTTCATCATGTCTGTTTGGAAAACAATCATCTTAATAAGCTGCAAGGACGTGGGTTGCTTGTCACTGAAGCCACGAATCGCGGAGAGCATTGCGTCGGCGCATGACTTCGCAGAAACTCCAAGGTTACCAGTTCCAATGGCAGGGAATGAAATGGATGTAAAGCGCCTTTTCTCGGCTTCCTGAAGACACTTCATTACCGAGGCTTTGATGCTTCTAGTGTCAGTGGAAGCTGAAGGGACTATATGGAAAATGTATCCTGCTCTCAAATGACCTGCTCTTGTAACAACGACAGATCCTGGAGGTTGAGGGCCTTGTTTAGAGCACTCTCTCTGAATGGAACCGCCTCCTGACCTTAAAATCGCTGCACCTGCACCTCCCCTCCTCAGATCTAGCTCAGGGTTAGATATGATGACGATGGCGTCTGTGTCCTCTTTTGTGATGTCGCCAGGTTGGACTTTGAAGCACAGTGTTCCCACGTTTGTTTCAAGGTGATCTGGGTTTCGCTCTCGTACTGGAGAAAAGGTGGCGGTCTGAGATGAAGATGCCTTGGAACGCTCTGTAGTGGCCCTTAGATGCGGTTTTTTAACTGAATGTGCTTTCATTCCAACCAGAATGGGGGTGTTTTTCTCGTTCCTTTGTTTCAACTCTGCTTCGAAAGCCTGGACCGTCGGATGATCTTGATCGTATAGAACAAACCTGACTTCTTTGAGTGAAGTAGCAGGATTCTTCTGGTTGAACGATATAACCTCGTCAAAATAAATCGCGGCAACATCAGCACGAGGAAATTGAAGCGTGCCAGTCCCAATTGCAGGAAATGCAATGGTAGTCATTCCCCTGCTCGTAGCTTCTTGAAGGCATTTTGTGACTAACCTCTTCAAAACCTGTGGACGCAGAACATTACCATTGAATATTTATAAACTACCATTAACTATTTATTACCTATTATTTAACAACTGAGATACTACGCGCGCTCGGATTGGTCAAAAGAGTTGCTAAACCTATGTTCTGTTGTACCGGTAAACCACGGTTCACGATCTATGGCAGCTCTACGAGGGAACTAGAGAACTCGGAACTCTAGCGATAACAAATGTAATAAACAGTTCTTCCTTTCACTGGCTGAGATATCAATAACACGAATATCTTTTCATTCAAGGAAAAAAAGGACCAGAAGTTGGTCGTCATATAGCTTAATTCTTTGAATACCAACCACGCATATATGCGTAATTAATGGTCGTGCTCTTTGTACCACTTGTGACGTCATCAATTTAAATGTCATCAGATATTCTTGATAANAGGCTTCGCCCTTAATTAACATCCAACTTTTCACTGCAGCCAGAAAGAACATACAATGCAAAAGGTAGCCAGTGGAAAAGGGCAGAGAAAAACAGGAAGGAAAGGGCCAACAAACGAAATTGAGAATGGTTAATGGCAAAAAAAAAAGTCCAAATTTTGGCTTATGTGCATGTCCGTAATTGAAGGTTTGCTCAAGTTTGTACCTAACCCTCGAAAAATCTCTCCTTTTAGTAAAAAAAAATGCTTTTTAAGCAAAACTTAGGCTTAGTTAGCGTCATGGCAGCTAAAAAACCTGATTAAACGGTTAAAAACGGTATTTTTTGGCGAAAGTTTGGTATTCAAAGGGTTAAGGCTTTATCTTTTTTTTTCTCACAGCAAAAATTTTACGCCAACTCCGGTTACACTTGAGATTAAAATTAAGGAAGTTTTAAACCCTTTTTTCGCTGCTTTGCACGGATCTGTGAAGGACGAAGTCAGGTGGGCTTGACTGATAAATTTGGGTTGTCAAAACAAAAAGGGGGAAAGATTTATTTCTATCAGAAATGTTGAGCTTAAACTCACTGCATGCATACATGCATAACACGATAAATGAATTTGGTTTCTATAAGCTTAGCTTTCAAGCTATAGTTTTCTTTTAGCAAAATACAGAGAAATATGGACTTCATAGCTTTCAGCATAAGAAAATAAATTCTGAATAAATTTTGGAAGCAGCGTTTCTTTAACTAACCTTTATTTAACTCGCAAAACTTTGGAAAGTTGTCGTTAAACACTGCGATGAATTACTTCGCAAAGCACATGAAGTTAGGTCGACAGTTTGGACTACTTGCACACTTTTCGTACAGCCTTTTACTTTCGTCATAACCGATTCCACCGTCAGAATAGAGACTTTTGAGTTAATTAATATATTTTTTGCCTTTCACCGATAGCCTTTTCCTTTCCTTTCTTAAAACTTTCTTAGCGTGAAATGTTTTCGTCGCTTTGTTCTGCGGATTTCGTGTCCGGCGCGGAGTCTGCGCTTTCATTTTTTCAGTCGCTGTGATTGGTTTGTCGCGTCATCTCGATCTCGCAATTTGATCACGAAAGTACAATAAATCTTCCTCTCATTGACAAACTTTTTCTATAGTTATTTCATAAAAGCGATAGACCACTCTTTCTATGAGTTTACCGGCGCAATAAACCACTTGGGATGTTGGGAGAACATCGCTTTTCTCGTGTTCTCCCAACATCCCGCGTGGTTTATTGCGCCGGTAAACCCATAGAAAGAGTGGTCTATTACTTAACCTAAATATGAGTACCGGATCAATTACGAGAACATTGTATCAGTTGAGTTCAGCGCTGTCAGCCGTGAAGGGCTATCCTGCATAAATATTCCAGTTTGCTTGCACTTTCGATGGGCAAAGGAGCTTTCATTGTTTTGTCTCTTTTTATCGTAAAGTGCAAATTATCTTGATAACCAATGAACCTCAAGAGGACGATATTCTAACGGAAGAACAACGCTTAAGGAGCAATAAAAACCGGAAGAAACAAGGAAAGGTCGTCTGGAAATAAATCAAAGGTGACATAACTAGCCAGTCTCCGAAAACGGATTAAGCTAGTGATTTTGAGACGGACAATTATTAAGTATCACACAAATAATACAGTCTGATGCAGTCAAACTGAATCATCATGACGACCTTTGAAAGCTCGAAATAAACTAATTAGTTGTTACTTACCAGCTGAGAACCAAGGTAACTAAGATAAAAGGTGAAGGAAAATTGTTGGCTAAATGTACATGGCACCTGATTTGATATAAAATTTACAAAAACTTGATTGGAACTTTCGGAAAGTTTGCATTGATTGGACAGCAAAGTAGTTAAGCCTGTTCACAGCCGTTATTGTTAGAGCCCTTTGAGTCCGCGCTCGTTCAACTCCCGATCGTTCACAGCTCGCTTTTACTTTATCAGCGCCCTCTACAATATCAACTATCAATTGATCATGATAATTCTACTTTACTTTTTTGCCCTTTCCATTGTCCCACTCAGAGCAGATGGCAAAGATGACTGCCTTGCACTGGAGATTTCCCCGCTGGGTGTTTACAGCAATGTCGCCGACAGCCACATGGCCTATATTGGTACATTCCTGTTGTAAGCTTGGTCCAGCAGCTTGGCTTAGGGCCCTTGCACAAGGATTCTGCGTCAAGTTAAGATTCGATGCCGCTGTACCAACTAAAATGTCCGCCTGGAAGAGAAAACGGAAGTGACTGTTGGCTACAGGACCAAATACTAAAAGCGAAGTCCTTTCTTAGTCACGGCATCAAATAATGTCTATCTAACCCGTTAAGTTAATGATACCATCGAGTCATGGTACGATCGAGAAATGCTGAGAGGACAGAAACCGCATACTGACAGGAAAGTATTGAACAAAAGCCTTCTGAGAGGACATGTGGTTACTGGATAGTGAAAAATCACAACGGTACAAAAAAAAAAGAGTTGCAGAAATTTATTAGTTTTATTGCAAATTTTTGCTTTGAAATTTAAATGCTTGACACATATGTTCTCTGCATCATTGTGTACAGCATTAGGTAGCTGTTTACGATGCGTGGATGGGAAGGCCAGGACCGGAACGTCAGTGGACGCGGGAAACTCTCGCTAGTCCCGTCGTGTCGTCAAGGCCAAAATGCTATTTCGTATAAGACGGCGACGTCAATTACTCGAGCTATACATAAAACCTTTTGGATCGTGTGTACTAACGTCATCCGCTATCGACTGTTGATCGATACCCTCAATCGATACCCTCGATCGACATCTTGATCGGTAGTCGATCGACATCCCGATCGATATTCGGTCGACACTCGATCGACACTTAATCAACCATCGGTCGATAATCGGCCGAGTGTAGATCGAGTGTCGACCGAGGTGTAGATGGAGTGTCTCTCGACCGCTGATGCCTTTAGTACACATGATCCAAGCTTTTCGCAGAACCATTGACATCCTTAGAGATGGTACCCTGCGAGCAGTTGTTTTCTCCTACGCCGAATGAGAGAGAAACCACTGCGAGCAACCTTTTGCTTTTCCATCGAGCATACGCGAGTTCGTCTCGCCCCATGTGATGGATTTATCTTCAGTTCCATTTGTTCGCTAGAGGTGTTTGTACAACGGCGAAGTATTATCGTGTTTGTGGTCTAAATCTAAAGCCTAAATTTTAGGCTTTCTTGCCTTTTCGCGTACGGGATTGCTGAGCTCGTTGAACACAATACTCTAAACATCAATACGAATCTAACAGGGAGAATACGATCGAAGGCGGGTTTGTAAAAGCTGTCTCAAGCGACTAGACGTCATCAAAAGTAAACACAGAGGCTCCCTCAAAGCACTAGAACAGGAACTTCCAGCGATGTAGAGCACAATCTCGAATGAACGTCTTTCAATAACATAACCCAGATCGTAACCTTTCGCAGTGGAGTTGGACTTCGATCACTTCACGGTGGACACGGTAAAACGCAGCAGTTATGTTGGTGTCCGCATGTGTGCGAGACTAAACCAGCTTTTAAAACTCGTTTTACCAGTTCAAAGTTGATTTATTCGTTCATGGCGCAGGAC